GATACCGGTTCTCCAGAACTGGTCAGAATCTGCTGAATACCACCTCTGCCCTCAGGAATGAGATTATGCCACCCAGGAATGAGATCTGACTGGAATCACAAGCTTTCCCTACGATGGTTGCAAGAGTCCTCCTGCTCTGATGTACAGTTTTTCATCCCTTTTAAACTGTGCTTGAAATCTAGTTTTATATTCTGGTATTCTGTTTCTGAGGAGCACTTTATTTTATTTATTGATTTTCATAATGTGGCATGGGGTTTTATTGAATGGCGTGTTTGTTTTAACTAAAGATATTACTGATAATTCATGTTGTAAATCCTGCAGAAAGTTTTGCCAGGAATAAAATCCTTAATTTAACAGCAGCTAGGTGGTGCTGTTCAGCTATACGGAAGCCCAATTGTTCCTTATCCCGAAGTTTCAAACTTTCTTTGCATGCTTTCTGAAAGCCCTGGAACTTTATTTGTGGCTGTTAGAAAATGGAAAAAGTGATTAATATGCTGCTCATTTTCCTCCTCCTGGTTTGCTTGTCTGTGTTCTTTAACTTCTTATATTCTATTTTCATTAGCATGTATCATTTTACTTGTGTTTGCTCCTGTCTATCACCTTCGTCTAACTCAGGGGTCACTAACCTTTCGGACCTCAGGGACCACTAAATTCATAATTTTAAACTCCTGTGGACCACTAATATGATCTGCCTAATGAGTGGCTGGGTGGGCGTGGCTAGGTGGTCATGTGACTAGGTGAGCACGGCCAATTCGATGTCACTCATGTCGAGGAATGCCTCGTTGGCCTCTACTTGCCCCTCCCCTGCCAGCCACTCCTCGCCTCCTTGCCCAGGCTCCTAAGGGCCCCAACAGAAAGCAGTTGTTGGAGCTAAGCAGTCACCATGAGAAAGAGTTGGAAAAACAGCTGTCTCAGTTAAAATTGGATCTGACCAAGAAAGAGGCTCAGCAGAAGCACCGCATGAGCATAGGCTTTCCAAGCAGAGGGAAGACTTGCGGCAGTGCAAGGCCAGGTACCAGCGCCTGGAGGCTCAGCAAGCTGAAATGGTCAGTCAGTTCCAGGCCATGAAGCAGTACCACTGGAACAAGGTCCTCTGGTTCTTTGCCACCAGCAAAACTTCCCTCCAGCCTTCACCCAAAGCCCTGCACCAGAAGGCTGAAGCAGACCCCAAGTTTGAATTTCTTCTCCCCTATGACCCACACAGAGACCCCCAATATTCATTGCACATATACATCCCAGGGGGTATAGTTTGAGGACCCCTGATTTAGTGCAATATAAAAATGCAAATATTTTTTCTGCAGACCACCAGTGGTCCATGGACCACCAGTTGGTGACTGCTGGTCTAATTATTCCATGCTCTTCTAATAGTCTTTAAAATAAACAGAAAGTAAATATATGAATAATTAAATGCAGGTTCTGTTCTAATTAATCCATTTTTTGTACATGGCTAAAAACAATTTCCACTTATAGAGCTTTGTTAATGTTGAATATGAAGGTCACATCTATCCAGCCATGGATATTGGTCATGAGAGCGAAATGGAATATACACATTGAGAAGTGTGCATCTCAGTATAAGAAATTGGACACATATAACAAACAAGAGTTCTCATAGACCATTATAGGAAAGAGGATGCAGAAGGTTTTCAGTTATTATGTGAACCATGGAAGAGTAGGATAAATTTATTAATTTAATAAGTAAGAAAACTTTCCCCTAGATTGTAATCTTGATTTGAATCCTGACAGCTGCTACCTTATGCTTATGCTTGTGCTAAATTACTATGCAGGGAGGGCGGTATGAAGAAAGGAATGCTTTGGAAATGAAAGTAAATGCTGTATTTGCTTGAGACGCTGCCTCAAGGTTGGAAGAGGAAGGCGGCTGCATAGGCTTGCACTGTCCATTGGGAAAACAGCTTGCCTGAATCAGATTTGTTACATTGAGGGGAACAATGAAAGACAGTTAGGGGAGTAAAAAGTAGAACTTAAGGATTTTGGCATGTAATTTTCAGTTCTGGCTTTGCTTTACTGCAATACACTCAACCTCTAATTAACTATACCTTTCTCAACAAATAGAGTCAAGGATTGTTTCTAATTGCAGGTTTAAGTTGCGGCAGGTTTCACAAATACATTGTTTACCCCCCACCCCCACCCCCATTTTCTTCTTCTTTTCTCTTTCCATGTGAGAAGGAGCACCTTGATGACTGCAAGAGATAGATTCCTTCCCTATATTCTAAGACAGAACAGGGTTTTTTTCTCCCCTCACCAGTCATGAAATAAGAAGGGAAACAAGCTTCCTGGGGAATTAATATTTTGTAGGCACTCTGGTTTAGGTCACAGCTGTCAACTCAGAAACAGATTTCCAGACATTTCTTCTGAGGCTTTCTTCATTTAATTTTTACATTAAATGAATTAGAAAATATGATTAAATATCATTGAACGTTCTCCACCAGGTTTGTCTAAACTTACAAACCCATGAATCAGAGGCAAGATAAAAAGATGAAAACTTTATTAGAAGGAAGAAGATCTTCTCTGTTTAGTAGGCTTTCGAGTTAAAATGATTTACTCTTGAATATTTCTTCTAATTTCTGTGGTATTTTATTTATGAGTGTATGAACTTAACTTCCAACATTTACTGGCCAAACATTCAATAGGGAAAAAAAATCCAGTCCAAAGTAAGCATTGCTTAGTTTCATGCTTATTTTTTTCCATTGGAATTGATGGAATTTGGTATTAATATTTTAATTTGGCTGGATCATGCTTTCACCTTGAAACAAAACTAAGCAGTGGCTATTTATTGCAGCTTTCATCAGTAGTTACTTCATGAGGGTTACAATTACATGCAAAATATCCATTGGAAGTGGAGATCTACAACATTTTGAGGGAATGAACGTTGGAGGGGAAAATCACTTGTTCATTACTGATTAGTCCTGTAATATAGATATAAATGCCTCACATACTTATTATTTCTGACTATTAAGACCATGATTGCTTAAAAGAGTATCACAGTTTTCTATTTTTATTCCAGATTCACCACAAGTAATATTTTTATCTCATTAATTCACCTCTTCTACTCTTCTACCCTATCAGGTCAACTTCAAATCAAAGATGCTCTTTGGTTTTATAATCTAAGCAGTTTTTTCCTAATTGTCCATCAACTGTGTCCTTGTCCAGAAACCCCAGCTTAGCAATTATATGTGAACAGTAAATACCCAGCTACACACAGACAGACACATAAACCTCAAAGCATTTATATAAAACTATATGAATTAACAACATAACTTACGATAAGGCCTCTGTTGCTATGTAGGGTGATACTTGCATTCCCTTGTTACAAATATGTCAGGGAAAGGAAATACTGGTGATGCACCTTGGGGCAATATCTTCTGTCAGGTTTCTCAATTAGGGGAAAAATAAACCTGATTTAGCCTTACATGCTTAACAATAGGTCATTGAAACTGCACCTGCCCACTCACCCCTTGTGTGAGATGAGTGCTTTATAAAATGTACCTGAAATTCCGGTCCTTAAAATACAAGTTTATTTCATTGCTCGAACAGATACTGTCCTGAACAGATAATCAATAGCTGTAAGAAATACAAAATTCCCTAGCTGGCAACAACCCTACATTTTGGATAGCCTCTCTTTTATACCTCTACAATATATTTGCAAATGTATTGAGAAAGTATTTTGTTTAATATAGTAGGTACATTAAATACCTATACATCATACATATTTTCATCTGTATCTCAAATTAATTACATCTTTATTGTACGATTAGATATTTAATAGAAACTAAATGAACATTCTGTTGAGGAACATTTCCTTGAATGCCTGATATTGTTTTAGGTGTGGCTAGCTGATTCTAGTGAGTCTGATGTGTAAATTGAATAATAAATTGTGATTGTGATTCTTTGGTTTGACTTGTAGATACAAGGTCCAGTTTCTATTCTATTGCTAAAATGATCAAAAATACTGTATTTTAAATGAGAATACAGATAACGAAAAATATTATACCTGTAGGAATATACTAGGATTCAAAGCATGACGAATATCAGTAAACTCAAAAGATAGCTTAAATTTATTTTCAGTTCTTAGAACAATTGTAGTGATATTGTTAGTTTTCAAAAAATTAGAATAATTTTCCAAGAATTAAGCTAGATGTAACTCTAGAAAGATTGACAGAGCAAATTTTCTCAAAATATTCAAGAAGACTTGGTTAATCACTTAGCATTGGAACTTGAATATGGCCTACTGATAATTCAAAAAGAAAGAGAGGCCAGTATTCTCTTTTACTCTATTCACGAATCATAAAAATTAAAAGCAAGCATTCGTTCTGCTAAAATTGGGACTAGTAGGAAATTCTACTTAGGAGATATTTTTTTTCTTCCCCATGCATTGTTAAAGTCACATGTGCATTACTTCAGAACTGTTTTGCAAGCTAGAATGATTGAGTTTATTTTTATATCTTATTTATTTAACTTCCTAAAATTCATCTTAATACATACCTCAACTATGGGTGATAGAATTCAAACAAATTCAATGGCTTTGAAAATATCAAACATCTCTCAATTCCTCTTACAATTTTGACTGATGTTCTGTATGAATGCTAGACACTTGTAACCATCTTTCTCCTCGAGGAATTTTGAAAGGGGTACCCATCAATATTAGTTGATAAGGTTTCTATCTTACCAGCTTTAATTCCACATCCCCAAAAGCAGTTGAACACTTTGCCAGGCCCAATGTTACTCATCTTGAGATGTTCATCAGTCAAGTGATAAATCGACTAATCGGGGGGGGGGGAGAGGATGCCTTCCCTTGAATTAAATATGAACTTCCTTTGTCTCATAATATCCTTAACAAAACCATGACGGATATTTCCATACACCCCCTGGGGAATGTGACGTCTCCTGCATAATGCGATAGCTGTTTCTGAAGTGGAAAAGTGGTCCTGTGTATATAAAGCTATTAAATGAGGCAGCTGGAAAGGCTGCACTAAGCGCAAAGAACAGCAGGCTGGTAAACTTCAGACCAGCAGACTAGATATTTGCCTTTGAATATTCTGCTCAGTATCTGAAGAAAAAGTGTGACACATTGAAGAGAAATTCAGCACCAAGGAGAGCTCCAAGTCTCCCTTGTGCAAAAATCACCATTACTGTATTTTTGAGGAATCCAAAAGTCCATCTTCTGGCTTTGTAAGTAAAAGTTGATATTTGTTTATTTCAGTCTAGAGAAATATTGTTTTTCTTTAACCCATTTTAGATTTTTTGTATGTATGTGTAGTTGATATGATTTAATAATAATGTAACAGTTATCACAATGTAGTGTAAGAAGGTTGAAAATGAATTCAAAATATGAATTTCTCTTCTGAGGTGATTTTCTGATTTCTTTCTCAAATAACAAAAGTTTCTCTTTTTAAAAATGCATATTTCATACTCTTGATTTCATATTCTTTGAATTTCCCTTTTCCTTTAATAAAGGGGAATACTCATTATTCACTTCCTTCTAATCATTTAAATTATTTCTTTTACATTTATATGCAATTTAAAACTTTGTAAATAAATAATGAAGACTTTGACCCCATCATTTTTCACATTCATGTGTTTAAAGAGTAGTTAAGAAATATATGCTTTAGCTTCCATTTCTCTAAAATTATTCACTTAAATTTCAGTGGTACTCTCTATAATTTTTTTTACATTAACTTTATTCTTGTGATCAGACAAAATGATTTTTTAAAACAATGAAATAAACCATAATTTTTCACATAGAATTTCAGTTGCCGAACAATGTGAAGATATTCCTGAGGGGAAGCTGTGTTAGTCTATGGCAGTAAAAACAACATTTTGTAGCAGCTTGAAGATTTATATGTTTGTTTTTTTATAACAGAAGCTTTATTTGATCACACTCTCCCTTGGATAAATATTTTCAGGAAAATGGATCACCATCAACAAGTTTATTCCTCCTCTATCTTGTCTCTAATCTCAGAACTCTTTATGTGGATGTTATGGACTAATTTTCAATAAGTTTACTAGTGTTACAAATCTTTGGCTCTATTTTCTGCCATAACTTCAAAGCAAAAGTTCTTTGATGCTATTTTTAACAACGGGGTAAAATTACTTTGAAAATCAAGATGATCTAAGTTAATATTTTGACACTTTAATTATATATAATTAACAAAATTGTTTATCTGTCAATCACTCTATTTCCACCTCTCCCCCATCCTATGTACCTCAACTTCAGTCATTGCTTTTTTATGTCAGGATTCATTTAAAATTTCTCTGCATTGCCATATGCTTTACCTCATGAAAGCAAGTATTTATCAAGTAGCTGAGCATAGCTATGACATTCAATATATTATTGGTGTTATTCGTATTACTAATAATAGTTTTTCTGTATAAATCAGCAGAGTCTTCTTTGTAGACCTGCATAACAATCCCTACCTCAGATATTCACTATGAAGAAATTTCTGGCCGCTTGAGTATTTTAATGAAAATGTCTATCCACATTCTTAATTCATACTTTAAGCTATAAATTAGCACAGGCACAGAAAGAGAGAGAGGGAGAGGGACACACACACACACACACACACACACACACACACACAGAGAGAGACAGAGATCTATATATCTATACCTACATTTACATCTATATCTACTGTAGATCTCATTTACTATAAATCTCCATCTCTCTCTCTCTCTCCTCCCCCCTCTACCATATCAATAGTACTGATTTTCCACAGAAGGCTACTTCTGACAAGATCTTTATTTTACACTGGTAATATGAAGGCCTTATTTCTGTCATTTTTGCCAATCCAGGTCAAAAGAGATGGAACACAGAAGTAGCTCCCATCTTCTCCTCTTTTTTACATTCCTCCATGTTTTCTGCTCCCAAGCCATTGCCTTGCCTCCTTTAGGATCATACTCAGCTATAAGGTAAGAAAACCCTAAGCAATCTCTCCTACAACTGATAACATGATTTGCAAATTTAAGAACTACTTGAATCCTAGGGACTGAAATAAGACAGATGTTTACTTGTGTTGATAGCCAAATCTAATGGCAAATATTGCTTCCACTGTCCCAAAGTCATCTGAAGAATATTATACTACTTTTTACTCTTTAACAAATAAATACCGGAGCATTTATTTAGGTAACTAAATAATGAGGTATTTTTGAGCTATTGCAATTGGAATTTATTTGTATACACGGAGTAGGATAGAAAAGATAAACTAGTTCAGTAAATATTTTTTGATATTTAACTGGGGGATTTACCATGCTTCAGTTTGGGTGTTATTATATTCAAGGCTGGGGTTAGTGTTTGTGTGAGGGGGGATATATTTCCATATATGCAAATGCACATACAACTGTAATCAGGTAATGTCATTATGCAGCTACTAGCTTGTGAATATAACGAAGATGTTCTTAATTATTTGGAAAATTGTTAAAGTAGTCACTATATTTGTTTATGAGAAACTTGAATAATTGTCATAAATTTGGTGCTCTGGGATCTGGATTCTAAGCTTGTTTTGCATGGTTTCATTCACATAAAAGAGCACACATTACTATGTCACACATAAGAAAACAGACACACCTTCACTTAAGGACTTCCCTTAGCAATAAGAGATATTTGAGATATCCAGAAAGCATTTTATTATAAATCTTAAGAAATGAAGCAGGGTTGGCCTGGTTAGTACTTAGATGGCAAACGGGGAAAAAATCACTATGGTAATCTAGATTAGAATTATGGAGAAAAACTTTCTGGAAGTTGCATTACTTTGTCCACAAAACAATATATTATTCATGTAATTACTTTGCATCCAGTTTTGGTCACCATGTTATAAAAAAGACGTTGAGACTCTAGAAAGAGTATAGAGCAGAGCAAGAAAGATAATTGGAGGACTAGAAACTAAAACATATGAAAAAAGGTTGTGGGAATTGGGAGTGTTTAATTCAATGAAAAGAAGGACTAGGGATGACATGATAGCAGTGTTCCAATATCTAAGGGGCTGCTATAAAGAGGGAGGGGGGAGGTCAATCTATTTTCCAAAACATCTAAAGGTAGAACTAGAAGCAATGGATTGGAATTAGTTAAAGACAGAAAAACTTATAAATAAAGAGAATTTTTCTGACAGTTAGAAGAATTAATCAGTTGAATGCCTTCCTTTCAGAAGTTGTGGGGAGCTTCATCACAGGAGATTTTAAAGAAGAGATTGGACAACCATGTGTCTGAAACAATATAGGGTTTCCTGCTTGAGCAGGGGGTTGGATTAGAAGATCTTCAAGGTCCCTTCCAACTCTATTATTCTGTTATGTAATGCTATATGGCAATGACTTTGACAGATAGGAGGGAAGAGTCACAGCCAAGAAAACAGTCTGATAACTAAAATTTGAGTCTGAAGAAGAGAAAGTGTCTGAAAAGAGACTCCTTAGCTTTTCAGAAGGTAAAAGTATTCTGTAAAATATTTTCAGTCTTGCAAAAATCTATGACCTTATAATAAAGATAGAACTAGTACCCCTAGTTGTGCTTGTCTGGACTAGCTAACATCAATCCTGCATGTATAACCCTCACATTAACATGTTTGGGCCACAAATTGACTGGAGCCTTATTTATTTAAACTAACTATAATAAGTGAACAAATCAGGAGGAGGATGGGGCAAATTGCTAGTTCACATTTACTAATTATATTAACATTTTTTCAGATTTCTTTTTTGATACAGAAAAGGATTTCTCATGAAAGGGAAATTATTGCTATATTGTGTCTATATTATATCAAATCACCTGTTATTTATAACCTTTAATATTAATCCATCATATCTGCCATAATTTATAGAACAATTCTGAAACTTATGTTTTTTGTTTAGCTTTTCATTATTTCTGGGAAAGGTGTTAAGGAAATATTTAGGATTATCTATCTATCACCTATCACCTATCATCTATCTATCTATCTATCTATCTATCTATCTATCTATCTATCTATCTATCTATCTATCAATCATGTATCATCATATAGCTAGGTAGCTATTTTTAAGAAATACATAACAAAAAAAAATCAGTGTTCAGTGGTCCCAGATATCAACCCCTTTCCTGCTTTATTTTAAGGTTAGAATGGGGACTTCAGCTCATACATATTTACTGTCAGATGTATTTGTTCTTTTCCTACATAGCTTATCTCAAATAAATTATCCATATTTAAGTAATTGATCTATATCACTCAGTTAGGCAAATGGTTCAAAATCTCAGAGAGTACAGCATGGTTTCCTTCTGCTTTTAGGCAATGCAAAGGTATGCCACTATTATGACATGAGTAGGTGACTTTAAAGTATCTTCGAAGTCCTTGCCTGTGACAATGCTTTCCTTCCAACTCATTATCAAAACTGTCTACCATCCTATTTCCCCCTCCTCCAACCTTTCTCAGACTAGGTAACAGAATACCATTTGATGGACAAAGTGAATCTGATCACACCCAAAGTTCATTAAAACCCAATGCTGATGTTCTTCAGGCTACTCTACCTGAAAATGAGAAGTTCTATTTAGATATGTCCAGAGCTATTGACAGGTAAAACTTTTGAACTCTAATAAACATTGGGGGGGGGGGTTGTCTTTGTATGTTGATAAACTCCCTGCTGCTTTCTGCTCTGTAGTTCTACTTGTCCTGTTTGAAACAAAGACTTTGCAACAAGGAGGGAATTCATAGCAATTTTTGTGCATATCACCAGTAAATATTAATCTTCATTTCTGTATAATAATATTCATCATACATTTTAAATCCATTATAGAAATATAAGACATGCTGATGGACTCTTTACAAGTGGCTATAGCAAACTTTTGGGTCAACTTTCTGCAAAGAAGTATTTGGAATCCCTAATTAGTAAAAGGATTGGGTAAGTGGTTGTACCATGTGTTTCCCCAGTGCAAGTTATCTTTAAATATTCCTATATGGTTCATATGATCCAGAAGTTTGTATTTTTTAAAATATTTCTATTAATGATAAAGAAGTTTGCGATGGTGAAGAAAAAAAACTTTAACAGAACCTGGCAGTGAATTTAGTAATTTGAATTATAGCTGAAGAGATATTTACAGTACATTATTGCACTGTCTCTTTGTTATTGCAAAAAGGAGAGGAAAGCAGATGTGGCAAGGAAGACTACACAACTCCATCTGGTACAACAGTCATGACCTTTCCTGGAATGGGGGGCCCTTCTCTCAGTTATTAATGTCTTGACTACCTGCTGCAATAGGATATATGTGGGGTGAGCTTTAAAGACCGTTCAGAAACTGATGGGTGTTTTGCAATGGATTTGCCAGACACCACTGATGTACAGTAGGAGATCACCAGGCTGAGCCTGAGAGAGAAAAAATTAGAGCATTGTTCTACATCATTCTTTAGGCTCCTGGGAGAAAAGGTGGGATATAAATCCAACATATGAATACATTTATTAAATACGTTGAAGTTGAAAAGAGAGAGAGAGAGAGAGAGAGAGAGAAAGAAAGAAAGAAAGAAAGAAAGAAAGAAAGAAAGAAAGAAAGA